GAATCACGTTTGAATGTTGGAAGATCTAGGATCTTGGCATCAATGTGATGACAAGGAAAATGATCATAGTCGTGTTCAATATTCTAGATTAATACTAGAAGACCTAGAATATGACCAGGAGTTTTACTTTGCAAATAAGGGTTTGCTATAACTGTCCTCTTATTAATACAATTCTAAGGCTGCCTTTGTGTGAGCTTTTTAGTAAGGCATTATTCTGACAGTCTTTGTCGCTGTATCTAGCACTAAATTTTACTATTGGTTGGTTGCTTACTAATTATGGCAAAGGGTAATGCAATGTGTCCCATTCTTTGAAAGATACTGTGAAAAGAATCATTCAATACAATGTTGAAATTGTGTTGTCCATGGGAAATTATAGCTTTTCTTTGCCAAGTTAATAATCATTCCTGCAAGAAATACAGGTAATGTTTTTCACCCATGAATATAGACTACTGCTTAAGAAAAACACCAGAAAAAAAAACCACAATACCCCAGCCGAGCTTTAAAGGAGCTCTGTATGATTGTAAGTGTTGAATATTTTTACAGCCTGCTGCCACTCTGTGTAACTTTTTGTATCATGTTTACTGATAGATTTGTTCCTGAAGAGGAAATAAACAGATTGTATTACAGTAAGAAGAATCTGTGAAAGATAACAGGCAGCAGATTCAAGACAAAGAAGAAGTCATGTTATTTCAAACAACGCCAAATTACTGTATCAATTGGTAAATATGATTTTAAGTATGAATGAGATATATAAAAATTATAGAAATGTCAGGGTCTTTATGTCTGGTTTCTCAGATTAAAAAAAAAGACATCAAATTTTCAGAATAAATCTTTATATATTTCTACAATATGAGAAAACCAGGTCTGTAGTAAGCTGAGATAGTATCCTTTCAAGTAACTGCTGAAGATATTGATGTTCTAACATACCTCCTCTTCACATCATGCTATAGTTGTTTTTTTCCGTTCACTTTTGAGATGCTTGTAGTGTCTGAAAGTGTTCCACATACTCTTATAGATCATTCATTAGATTTCTTTCACATGAAATGGATAATGTTAGTGGAGCTACTTCATTTGAGAATGTTCAAGTGCAATACATATTGAAATACACAGGTTACCCAGTAGAAATAAATCATGAGTAGCAAAAATAATTCCAAATGCAGTTTCATTTGGTGGCAGCAATGCTTAAACTGCACTAGAGCAATGTTAGTTTTGACTAAGCCAATTCTATTGAAAAATGGTACAGAACAGCACTTCTCATATTAATTTAATTTTTAAATATTTTACTAGTATCTATCTTAATATAATACAAAAAGAATAGAAAAAGCAAAACTTTAGCACCTTCTAAAGATTACTACTATATGCTATGTTTACTATTTGAAGGTCTTGAATTTGAGTAAAATCATGTAGAAGCACAAAAAATCCTCTTCAACGTGCACAAATTCTGATTATCTATTTCTGTTGCAGCTGGGAAAGAAGTGAAGTTTTTATGCCAGATCGGTTACTGTGCCAAACTAAAAATTCTGAAGGATATGGGATAAAATGGATTTGTATATTTAACTTCTAGAATGTATAAACCATTGTTTTACCCATTTACTCTCTCAGGTGAGGTTTATATTAACTGACTTTGTCCAGTAAAGAAAATGCTAATGCATCCACCAAAACTGTTTTATGTAGTTTCACAAAATTATAAACAGCTTAAAACTAGGGTGAAAAGGGCTGGCTAAATTTTAATTGTACCCATAACCTGATCTTAACAGATCTATCATTTATTTTTACATTAGCATGCTGTTACATATACAGAGATGAACAATATTAAACCAGAATTGCTTATTCTGACTGTAGCATTACAATAACATTTTTATTTGGACTGAGGCCTGAGCCAGATTTAAACAGGATTTTGGAGAGGGAATATCTAATAGTAATTTCTAGAAAAATAATGTAAGGAAAGAAGAAACCATAATTAAAAAAGCATTACTGAGGAATCAATGTGATCAAATGCACAGCAGCAAATATCCCATCAAATCTTTGAGCAGAACTGAAAAAAACTCGGGCACATAACCAAAAACCAGCTAACAATTCTCTCTGACATTATGAGAGAGGCATTATCCTTCAGCCCATTATCCTTTCTATTGTAAATACAGGAAGGAGATAGTTTGAACATAGATGATGTGGTCTTATAATCAACTTATTTTACAGCTGAAGGCATATACCTTACCTGAGTTCCCTGCTCTCTCTGGCAAGGATAACTTTATTATAGGCAGAGAAAATTCAAGTAATAAGGTGAGTTTAGGCAGTATCTGGCAGTTCTTTCAGGTAAATAAGTATGCTGGTTGAATTTGACTCGTGATCTGTATGTGCAAATAATATTATTGTCAAGATATTTAAAAACTGCTGGCTACTATAAGGATGAAACAAATGATTACAGGTAGTGTGATAAACAACTGTCGTAGTTTAAACCCAGCCAAGACAGCCTGTCCACTCGCCCCTCCCCTTCTTGCCCTTCCCCTACTCCTGGAGGGACGGACAGGAGAAAGAATGCAACTCCCACGGGTTGAGATAAGAACAGTTTAGTAACTAAGGTATAACACATATCACTACTGCTACCACCAATAATAGTAATGATAAAGGAAATAACAAGGGAAGGGAATACAACACCCCATCACCAGGCGACCGATAACTTGCCCCCCCAGCCCGACCAAGCACCGACCGATACCTCCTCCAACCCTGCAGTCCACTCTCTAGCCCCTTCCGGGTCCCTCCCCAGTTACGTCCTGGGCATGATGTGCTGTGGTATGGAATACCTCTTTGGTCACTTTGGGTCAGGTGTCCTGTCCCTGCTTCCTCCCGGCTTCCCTCCTCCCTGGCAGAGCATGAGGCTCACAAAGTCCTTGGCCAAACCAAAACATCATTTTTATCAGCTCTGTTCCCAGCCTGAAAGTCAAAACACAGCACTGCACCAGCTACCAAGAAAGAGAAAAATGACTGCTACTGCTAAAACCAGGACATTATCCACCCCTTATTCCATACCATTCACGTCATGCTCAGATCCTACATTTTCAATATACCATCACCCTTATCTAAGTGCACTCTAATCGTAGTGCATGGACCAGTCCCTATAAAGCTGCTGAGTCCATCTGGTCCATGATGTCAGGCTCCATCTCTTGTAACAGTCTTCCAGAGCAGGAGAGGCTGTGTGCAGTGTTCACACACATGAATAACCTGGGCAATAGTGTCCATTGCTAAGTCCACCCCTCGATCATGAGTCCATCTCTTATGTTGTATCTCTGCTCTGACAGCCTTAAGGGTCATGGGCCCACCAGGTTCAAAATAAATCACTGTCCCCTCCAGCAGTTTCTGCAGCTTGCTGCTGGGGACTCCATACAGCTGCCTTCCATCTCCAATGCTTCCAAAGCACTGGAGGGGCCCAGTGGACTAGATACTTGCCCATACTGTCCCACATGCCCTGCCACTCATGACTCTCCAGCCTTGGGGGAAACTTCTTGGTCCTCCTATATTGTTGTCTAACCCCAGACAAGACCCAAACCTGACTCTGCTTAAATTTCGGGGTCAGACAAAATGGCGGTGGGTAAAACACAGTCTGTGTGTGTGCCAACATGCTGATCCCCATCACAATCAGCAGGCAGGTCCCAAGGGTACCCAAAGGCCATCCAAAACCTTCATAACTCTCAAGCGATGCTGCTGTACTTGTCACTGGGGCTGGTGTAGCTGCTGTGCTTGCCGGCTCTCCCACCACCAGCTTCTCTTTTCCTGAGTCCAGCTCTTCCTCCTCTGCCTTGCTGGGAAATGCTGCGGGGTCTCCTGCGGCCTCCTGGGGCTCGGCGGGCGGCTTCCGGGGAATGCTCTCGGCCGTCGCGGGGCTGGGCTCGGCCGCGGGGCTCGGCTCCTCCGCCGCCTTCTCCCGCTGCTCGGCAGCCGCCTCCTCCCGCTCCTCGACCGCCCCGACCTCCTCCACCGGCAGCCACTCCCTGCCGGCCTCCGGCCCCGCTCCCGCTTGGTCCCCGGGGCCGCTCTCCCGGGCCGCTTCAGCAGCCGCCGGCTCCCGGGGCCGCGCCCCCTCGGCTCCCCAGAGCCTCACGCAGACGGAGGCGAGGGCGAGGGCCAGGACGGTGAGGAGCAGCCGGACGGCCAGGGACCAGTCCACGGCCACGTCCGTCCCGCCCTGCTGCTGGAGCCCGCCCGTATTACAAGTCATTGCCATAAAGTACATTGAGACAGGAACCTTAGCCCAAGCCCCACACTTGATAAACACTAACACAGCAAATACCGGCTCTAAGTAAGTTACAACATTCTGAAGCTGTGAGATCAAGAGGAACAACTCTGAGAGCCAATAAATCAGCATTGTGACGAGTGACTATCAGTCCGGTCAGATCTGGCATTATCTCAACCCCACGTGCCCCACGTTGGGCGCCAAAAAGAACTGTCGTAGTTTAAACCCAGCCAAGACAGCCTGTCCACTCGCCTCCCCCCCCTTCTTGCCCTTCCCCTACTCCTGGAGGGACGGACAGGAGAAAGAATGCAACTCCCACGGGTTGAGATAAGAACAGTTTAGTAACTAAGGTATAACACAAATCACTACTGCTACCACCAATAATAGTAATGATAAAGGAAATAACAAGGGAAGGGAATACAACACCCCATCACCGGGCGACCGATAACTCGCCCACCCAAGCACCGACCGATACCTCCTCCAACCCTGCAGTCCACTGAAGCCCCTTCCGGGTCACTCTCAGTTACATCCTGGGCATGACGTGCTGTGGTATGGAATACCTCTTTGGTCAGTTTGGGTCAGGTGTCCTGTCCCTGCTTCCTCCCGGCTTCCCTCCTCCCTGGCAGAGCATGAGGCCCACAAAGTCCTTGGCCAAATCAAAACATCATTGTTATCAGCTCTGTTCCCAGCCTGAAAGTCAAAACACAGCACTGCACCAGCTACCAAGAAAGAGAAAAATGACTGCTACTGCTAAAACCAGGACAACAACATAAATAGTTTGCTTCAACAATAGCTTGCTTTATCTTTGTTTTTGCATTGTATCCTGCTTAAGCACAATTGCGTAGGTGGATGGGAAGAATGTAAATTCCTGAAACTGTGAAACAAACAGGAACAAGGGATTTTTACAGCTGGACATAGGATATATTACAGTCATGCTTGATCAAATCAACATCTAATCTGGAAGTAATAGAACAAGTTATATGATAAGGGCTATAGGCATGTGCACGGGGTTAAATAGGCCAAAAATCCATATCAAAGAAGACTACTGGCGTTACCAACTAGCTCTTAAAAGACCCTCCTGGATATGTGCAGAATAAAGAATGAAGATTGCGTCAGGCATCAGGAGGTGGGATTCGTCTTCCTGAAAGTCTTATGGGTATGTAAAAGGCTTGACTATAAGAAACTTTGACTCTGTACTCACAAGTGCACATGCAGGATATGAAGGCATGCACTCAGTGCTGTAAATAAACCTTTGCTCCACTGACTTTGTCCCCAGTAAATTTTTCTAAAGGTGAGCTCATTTCTTACAGGTAGCAAAATGCCAGAGTAGGAAAAATTTTGGAGATGATTAATTGGAGGAAGGGTTAAGTTGGCAGAAATAAGTAATCCTGCTTAAGACTTCTGCATCTGGAGTGCTGTGAAATCCCTTGTGTTGTAGTAGGTGCTTCAGTGGGACTCAGAGTATTGTAATAATCACCTTGACTGGCTAAATTGGGCTGGTGAATCTTTCAGGTGATGGGGTGATCCGAGAACCTTACAGGTTTTGGTACATCTCTGGGTACTTTCTATACTGGGCACTGTAGGAGGTAAGGAGTAATCAAAAATGATGTGAGCAAAAGGAGGAAAAAGCTTCCTTTTATGTTTAAGATCTGTAGGTGTGGGGTGTTTTCCTTTATTTCCTCCCCCTCCCTAATGCATAAATATTGTACAAATGGGACAAAATATTGCCTATTTAAACTAAAACTTATAATGGGATCTGGGCAATTTAACAAAATTTACGTGATGCAAATAAAGTCCTGATACTAATTCTCTTTGATTTGTAATTGGGGTGAGAATTACTTTAAAATGAGCCTTGCTCTACCAGCAGTGCTGCATAATTAATTTCACTTGTGGTTGAAGCATTCTTCTTGATAAGGCTTCTTGATGAGTAACATACTTTTAGGCCTAATAAAAAAACTCAAACAAATCCCAAAACCTAAAATACACCAGAAGGAAAAAAAAAAAAGCTATTTGGTATCTAATAATCTGACCTTTTTGTTCATTATTAGTGAAATATTATTCTGTTACTATTTGAATTTCCCTATACTGTAAACTTTGGCCTTAAACTTTGTAATCCAAGTTTTCTTCAACAAGAAAGTTTCCAAAAATTTGTGTTTGAACTTCTGTTTCCACTCAGTGCTAAAAACTAAACAATCTGATCATAAGTGATAAACAAATTGAGTTTAAAGGAGGAACCACACCATTGCTGACTTCCAGGTTGTTTGTTTTTACTGGTATATTCCATCTATTCAGTATGTCTTTAGGCATAAAAAGAAGTAGAAAGATGCTGGATTGGAATCGTGTGGCTATGAAGTTCATAATAGGGTCTTTTGTTGGGTCTTTCAGATACTTGAGGCATAATTCTGTTTAGCAGCTCTTACTTTTTACTGTCTAAATTATTGTCTAGGCATTAAGTATTTTAAGTTTTTAATGCCTGCAAGATAGCACCAGGATTCTAGGATTACTTACCTGGTTGCTGCACCTGGTCCACTGTTAGATTCACAGAATATGAGTTGTTTGGAGTGGTGATAAATTAATAACTTCCCTTGGTGATAAATATTGATTTAGTAATATATCTTTTTTTTCTCTTCACAGCTTTCAAAGCAAATAATCAGTCTTTATGCTGAATTTAGTTTTCTTAAGAGAATCTTCTTTGATGTGTGTAGGTAAGGTGGGAAGGAAGGATTTTAACAGAGTGCCAAGGTAGACAGATTCTGTCAAGATTTTCCTTTATTAAATGGCTTACTGGAACAGTTTAGGAATATATTGGCTCTGAATTTAAATGGCATGGGAGTAGGGTCAGGGATAAAATTTCAGAGTTCTCAGAACAGAAGTAGGCCTTAGAAAGAACAGGAAATAAAATAGTACTAAAAAAAAGAAAAGCCCAGGAAAACAGCAAAGTTCAAACCTCTCCATTCCAGAGTAGTCTGTGTTAAATCAATATGTTACACTATTGTCATCATGGTGATACATGTAAGTTGTATTCGGACACCTATCTATAAATAGCAGTGACGTATTCCTTATGTACCGCTGACTATGTAGCCCTTCGGCTCATCACTGTTGTCATACTCCAACAGCAGAACAGCATTGAGTATTGTGTGCATTATAGGCTATATCAGTAACATCAAGGGGATTGAAATCACATAGTCTGCTAGCCTGCTATTTGCACTAATGTTCATCTCAGATGCTTCACTGAAACTTGAGGGAAAAGGGAATTGTGTTTTTACTTACTGTTTCTTTACTGTTTCTGCGGTTCAGTTACTGAGCGTGTGCTGTTTTCCGCTCCACTTGCCTACTTGGGGCACCAACCTTTGAGTGCCTACCTCCCACTGCAGCTGCTGCAGAGCTTGCAGAGCTCTCTGGGGCATGGTCCACATTTGTTCAGTGTGAATCTTTTCATCACGTCAAGAATTTCTCTGCGGAAAAGAGGACAAAATAAGCTTCGTGTCAGCTTCAATGACATTTTAAAAATCAAGCATCACAGTCAGCTTTCTGTATTGTATTAAATATGCATGTATGTCAAAATGAAAAGTTTATGTGAAGAACTCTTTTTTGATCATCTGGTATTCTCCCTTTTCTTTTCAAATTGACTTCATGGAGAGTGTCGAAGAAAGGGCTGCTTTGTTGTGCTGCTTTTGAAACAGACTGTTCTCAATGTTCATCTGTTCCTGCAGACCTAAAAATCCATTTCTTGATTATCGCTGAACTGTGGCAATATTAAGGCTGCTAGGTTATGCAAGCAAAACATTCTGCTATTTTGATCATTTTCGCTATTGCCTAAATGTAAATGTACTTTCTTTCTGATTGTACTCTCTCTTTTTAAAGAAGTCATAAATAGAGCATCAGGGTCTTGTTTTTATGTTGCTTACCGTGTATCTATTGTGTCATTTCAACTCAGGTTGGAAGGGACCCTGGGAGGTCTTTAGATCAAGGTCTTGCTCAAAACGAGTATCTGTTAGGTCAGATAAAATTGTTGATGACTTTCTCTAGCTCTGTCTTAAACCTCCAAGGACTGATACTGCACAGTATCTCTCGGCAACTTGTGCCATTCCCCCCTGTAAGAGCAGGTAGGCAGTTTCTCCTTATCTAGTTTGAACTCTTGTTTCAGCATCTTCCCTATAAGGTAAGAGCATGGTTCAGTCACCCCAGGCACTGGGAAGCTGCAGTTAGGTTCCCTATAGGTACCTCTTCCCTGGCTGGAGAAACCCTGGTCCTTCTGCCTCCCCTCACAGAGCAGGTCCTCCAGTCTCAAGTGTCCTGGTAGCCCTTCCCTAATCTCACTTCATGAGTCTGCCCAGAAGGGCTTTATAAGGAGGTTTATTAGGGTAAGAATGCTAAAGTTTTCAGTAAATGCAGTGTAACTTTCTTGGTTCCCCTGTCTCAGTCCTTGTATCATTTGAGAGGTGTTTTGTCTGAGACATCCCCCAAAGTTATTTGTGAAAATGTTTAGAGAAGAGTTAGAACAAACCTGTGCAGCAATATCTCCAGAAACATGACTAGATTAATAAAGCTCCTCTTAATTGCATATGAAACCTGTATGTTTGCCTGCTTTTAATCTACTTAACTTGTGAAATGGAATTCCAATATCCTGTTGTACCATTTAAGATATGAAGTGACAAGTTAAATGCCTTTGGGTCTAACTGCATTGCATCAGTTTGCCATAAACAAAACATATCTCGTAATCTCATAAAAAATTATCACATTTTCTTTTCCCCAAGATGTGTATTCTGCTTATTCAGGCCTATTGGCATTAACTGTAACATGACTCTTAAATAATTTGTTAATTTCTTATATCTGTGCTTCTCTGTTGGACTTGTCTGTGGTTTATGTCAGGCTGCCAAGTTTTCCAGTTATCTGGACCATCCTGTTTACCCTTAATGCATTAGCAGAACAGTAGCTTCCTTTTTGTTGTCTGAAACTCTGGCTGGGCGCAAAGATATTCAGGTTCAGGGATTTGGTATTTCTTGATCCTAACTTTTCCCTAGTCAGTTATTGTAACTGTTTCATAGATAATTATTTTTAACCATATGAGACAGGAATAGTAATTTCAACCTATGTTTTCTTCAAATGATTCTACCATTTCCTTGCTGTAGCATACTGTGGCATTCTTTTTGCTATTTATATTGGTAAGCTCCCTGATTTAAGCAAAATTTATCTATGGTATACCTAATAACAGCTTTCTTCCTGATGTCATCTATCTACCCTGTGTAGTGTTCTCTCATTCATAAAAATGTGATGTGCCTAGAGCTCCCATCATAAGATTTCCTTACATGTTTATTATCATTCATATATGTGAAAATTGTCCTTCCAGTTTGATTCCAGACCCTAGTATTTTTTACTTCAGAGAAGAAGACTTTTCCCAAGTACCAAAATATACTGTGTTTCTAGTAATAGATGTGATTAATTAATAAACAATTGCAGTACTAACTCTTAGTTTAGGGGCTAAGTTACTTTTTTTCTCTGCCAAAATGATACCTTCTTATGTTAAATAGAAAATGTTAAATAGAATAAACTTCAGCAGGAAGCTATAAAACATGTTGGTTTCTGTATTGAGAGAGATCCCAGAAGGGAAGTGGGAAAGCTGCACAATAAGGTAAAAGAAACAAATCAGTGTGTAGCCTCCTACAGAAGGAATAGAAAATGAGAAAGGCTAAAAGGAACAAAATAGTAAGAACCTATAAACAGTGTGATTGTCTCAATGACATTTAAAATAGATTTCTGAAGCTTCCCAAATAGGGGATTGAATTTTAAGCAGAAATTATTTATGCTGAGAAAATATAATGATCACAATAAAACTAGTTTAATAATGGATTTGTCTCTTAAACTGCTTGAGATAAGCAATAACACGTTAGTGTTATAACATTATCATGTATTAGTTATTACTATACCATTATAGTGATGATGTTCTGCCTCCTAATTCACTAAAGATGCTACAGTTTGTGACTGAAAATAGAACAGAATTGCAAAATATGGCTTGTCACACCGTTCCTCCAACTCCAGTGTTCCTCCAAGTAAACTACGTTCACTTTTAGTGAAGTAGTACTGATCTTGTAATTTAATATTGTGAAAAACAACTGCTTCTGACCTTAACATTTTTATGTCTAAAAAATCGTGTTTTAAGCTTCAAAGCCATAGACTAAGCCTTTTTAATACAGACATCACTTGGAAATGGCAAGCCTAGAACAAGCTGCAACTGCACTGACTTTTAAACATATTTTTATTTTTTAAACACTCTAATCAGTGACATAAATTTGCTGCAGGCTTTATTACAGCTAATTCACTTTGTATCAGCAAAGAATTTGGCCAGCACCATTGAAGATGGAAGTCATATGCAGTTGCTGGTGTAGCGTAGCTTTCTCCATCATCCAGGTTTGCCTAGAATTGCACCTAAGAAACCATATGTTTTATTAGTTGTTTGTAGCTGTTGTTTCAGCAAAAGACATAATGGTAACTTTTAAGTCTCTGGATTTCAGGAAAGCTTAAAAGTTTAGAGAAATATTGACACTAAAATTAAAAAAAAAAAAGGACAGGAAAAGATAAGAAATTC